TGTCAATGTAGCATGTAGCTCGTGGTCAGGAGTAGATAATATATTCAATATTATAAATCTCCAGCAAGATTTCTGTCATATAACAAACTACGAGTAAAGTTCTCAGTCGCGAGACAGATCGAACAGTAAAAAACCTTTTAAAGGAAATAATGATTATCATTCACCTGACCGGATCCACAATTTAAGTGATGTTGATATTCCAGCAACGTGTACCGATGATGAGTGTGAATTTGTTAATTTAAACTCAATCAGTCTCCGTCTGAACCAAAAAATTAAAAGTTTATTAACTTAAATCAACATATCGTCGGAGGCAGAAACCGAAAATAACGGTCTGAAAGCCGAATTTTTACTTGACACTAGAGCAACATCTTCACTAATCAGTTTGACAGTTAAGAACAATTGTGTAAAACACAGCCTCTACAGCTTGATAAATCGAAATCAGACACCGTTGCTTTTAACGGAGAAAAAATTAAGCTTATAGATTATAAAACTTTTGACTCTACTTTCGGTACTAAACTGTTCATTTTAGTAAAAATTAAAAAATGGTTTTCAGCCAAGCTCAAATAAAATCTAAACAATTTTGGTTTGGATCTCAATTCTCAAAGCATTAAATCGATAAAATTTTCAAGTTCTAAGTTAGAATTAAAAAATACTAGGAGATAAAAGAACTGATTAGTAATACAAGACGCAAAAGCTATCCATAACAAAGTTTTCTTATCAAAATGTACTTTTCAATCAAAACATAAATATTGCACCAAAATCAAATCGTCCCACGTTATTTCAATTTCTTCAGCAGGCATAGATTTTGAAAAACGTCAGTTAAAATTGATAAGTCCTTAGCCAAAACGGCATGAATGCGTATAGTAATTATTGTGAGTTTGAAATGTCACCTCTATCGTACTCAAATATTCAAGAAAAACAAAAGTAATAATACACAAAAGCTCAATAGGCCAAACATGTGAAAATATAGAAACAAAGTGAAACCATTTTTCCTGCTCTATATTTTTATCAATGTAATTTCATCATAAAAGCAATTATAACGCTTATGGTTTGTGCAGTTTACCAAAATTTTTGTATATTGAGCAGTAAATAGGTTTTTCTTACTAAAAAAATGTTATCAGTGTTCCTTACTTCGCTACTTCAAACATTTTTTGCGTTTTTAAGTTGCTGTTTACTATTCAAGCATTTGTGAAAAGCATAAAGCTCGCTGAAAAAAAAATTCAAGTAAAAAGACAAATTTTTGTTTGCAAAAAAAATCATTCATTTCAACCGATATATTACGGTGAGTGGCAGTTCTGTACAACCTTCGGATGAATATGACAAAAATGCATAGACACAGACTAAAATCTTTGCCGAGATCAAAAACAGTCAAGTACGCCAACAATTATGGGCCAGCCTCAAAATCGAAGAAAATTGAATGATTGGAACCCAATGGCTGTGTTTAAAACAATTCCGAATTCAAAATAACTGCAGAAGAAATTTCAAAAACACAGGAGTAAAAAGTGTTCAGTATTTTATAATCATATCAAACTCAAGGCGATTTTATCACTGAAACCTTAGTATAAAACCTAGTTGAATTTTAATTATCCTACGTATTTTAACTTCAAAAAGGCAAAGATAATGGGTGTTTTTCGATAAAAAACAATTCAATTGTCTTCTACTTGACAAAAATTCTTCGTAGGGTTTGTCAACCTGGATTCGGCAACATGCAAAAATTATTGCAACCTGGTTTCGGTGATGATGAATACTATCAAAACCAAGACAGAGAGTAACAATTGAAACAAATCGTCTATGGCATCAACGACTAGAAGGTTGAAGGAAGAGCTCTAAGAGTTGAAAAGGAAACGAATGTTTCAAATCTTTTAACTTCAACTTTTATTGAATTGATTTCAACTTCAAATATAATGGCTCAATGAAACATTTAATCTAAACCTACTTCACGATTTCTTAACATAATTTGATACTAATGTAATTTTAAGTATCGACCAACTGTCTATCTAAAAACAAGATGAATTTAGCTTTACTGAAGATTAGAAGAAAATAATTTCCGTTTTAGTTATGTCAACCCATTAAACACTAGTCCGACTTTTTTCATTTCTCCAAAACTAGATTCCTCTCAAAATATTCAATATTTTTTCCTAGGCTATTTTGTGGGATAGAAAAAATTGTGTCGCCAATAAACTCGCCGGTTAAAAATGTTCTGCCTTGAAAAATAGACATCAAAGCGATAAGCACTTGGTCCTTATTGAGGTTATCAAAGACACAAAGAAATAGAACACCTGCAAATCAAAGAAAGAAATAAAGAAGGCTTTGTAATATGTAAGAACTAAAAAATGAGACTACCGAAATCTTTCCAAAGACCGGAAGATGAAATTGATATCCAATGAAACGAAACATTTACGAATAAAAAGAGACAAAGTTATTTTAAAGCAGTCTTGCTTTAAACTTGGATCTGTCCGAAATCTTCATAAATTTAACCCACTCTCATTTCTACTCGCTCAGTCGGTTTAACTTATTCCGGAATAACCTTATTTCATTTTGTTTTATCAATTTATTAAGATAAGATCTTAGAATTTTGAAGGTTCCAGAAAAACAAAATTAGCAACACTGATCTAGAAGAATTGATGACCCAATACTTTGAGAGAAAATAGGCGGAAAAATCAAACAGCAACCTAGACGCTGACTACAGGCAAATCAACAAATTTGACGATCTTAGGTGAGACTTATAAACTAGGCTAGATTTTTAAGCAATCGACCAGCAAAGTACGCTTAACAAAATACTGGGATCGAAAACTGACTTTTTGCATTTTATATGGCGTGGGGCGGACGATTTACACAAAAAAAAGTTTAAGTTAAACGAAAAAAGTGTTTTTTTTATTACATGTAGTTTTTCCATGTTATAACTGATGCGTAGGCTTTAAAAAAGAGTCGGAGCATTCAGTAATAATATCCCAAAACGTAGAACAATCCTTCTTCCTTTATGAGTTTTTGAGGATGCCTATACTATTGTCCTTTTTAGTCTGCGAGACAAAACTTCCAGTCAACCATTACCTTAACCATAGACGCATTCGGCATCGCCAAGTAAGGAGCTCTCATTGCAACTGCCTTACTGCGTTTAAATCCTGTACAATTCGTAATGCATGAGGTGAAACACATCAGGTTGAATTCATCAGGATTCAGGTAGAATCCATCAGGTTAAATGCATCAGGGCGAAGTTTTTTTCCCGGCTTTCGTAACGAAAAAACCGCAATATTTGTGCTGCAGATTGTTTATTTTTCTTCAGACAACTTTTGACTTTTCAGCTAGCCATTTTCGACGGAATTTTTTTATATCATTCGAAAAATTCAGCCTAAATTTGAAAAGATATCTTACCTGTGAATTTTTTTCTTAAGTTATGGTGGTTTAAAAATAGAGATTTAATCCTTCTTAGAAACCGTTACAAATTGGTTGAAGGAAGCTTATTTATTTGCCATATTTGACTTGTTATTAGGATCGAAAATTATCACTTTGCACTTATATGGAGAGCGGGGTGATGACTTTTAAAAAAAACCTCATTTTTTTTAAATATTTTTTTTCTCATTTTTTTTATTACATGGAGTTTTTCATGTTGTAACTGCTCCATTGAACTTAAAAGACAGTGGGAACTCTTAGGGATTCACCCTGATATGAGCAGTCTTGCATACATTAAGAAACGAATATCGAACTGCAATTTTTAAACACTTCAATCTGCATTGTTGTTTTCGAAATATCAAATTTAATTTGAATGTTTTCTGGAATTTTTTTTTTGAAAGTTATCTCTCTCGTGAAAGTCATTGTCCTGTTTACAAAAGAATGATTTCATTCACATTCACCTAATGAAAAAATTTGTGCAAAATTATACAGGCATTCTTAGACGATTTTTTAAAAAAAAAATTTGGTTTAAATGGTTTCTCTGAGTCTTTACAAAAACCGTTTTTCCAATAAAACTGGGTTTCTAAAGTCAGGTACGATTTGTTGATGCAAAACCTTTTGAGAATTTCAGTTTTTCTTAAATTTTGCGAAGCTTCCCTTCATGATAAAAAATTAACCTTGTTTGGTTGCCAAAATTTAAGAAACATAATTTTGAGGAGAAGGAGCAGGGGTGTTGGAAGAAATGTTCAACCTGTATTTGTAGCTCGAACTGCTTCACCTTTGCCGAAAACCTACACCAAAAAATTGCCACTTTTATCAAAAAAAATAGCTATTAGAAACGTTTAAGCGTTGATCAGCCGGTAAGGACTGTCGCAAAATTGTATCAAAGGGACATCCTTAGAAAAGTTTTAGCGCCCATAAATGAGAAGGGGCCAGCGCCACTCTTGATGCAATACTGCTCCTCTTGTCTCGTTGACAGAGCCATTATATAAAACGGCGATGATCTAAATTTGACGCGAGCCTTTTTGTCCACTTGGCTTAGTTTAATGGTTGATGTTTAAAGTCATAATTGTGCGTAGTTTTTTCTAAATAGTTGTTTTTTTTTAAAAAGATTTTTCTCAATAAGAAGCTGAATGAAACGTATTTTAGTAGTGTCTAAAAACGTCCAACAATTGTCTAAAAACGCCTCTTTTTGGCCTGGCTTTTCAAAAACTGCCTGCGGCGCAGAAAACTTGGTCAAAATGTGGTCTTTCCAGTAATCAGAGAGAGCTCAAAAAATCACATTTGAAAATCTGCCCACCACCCCCCCCCCCCCCCCCCCCTCGAGAGAATCCTAGATCCGCCTCTTTTTCAAAACTTCACCCGCGGCGAAGAAAATTTTGTTAACATAGAGTCTTGGGTTTTTATAGTAATTTGGGTGAGCTCAATAAATCGATTTGGTCATCCTTAAAAAAATATCTCATACACTTGATGCTCGATGCTCTCAAGATTTGATTGCTTGAAAAAATTATGATGCAATTACAAAATTTAAAACTTAGTTTTTTTGTCAATGCTTCCCTGCAATAACGACGAGAAAAAAAAGAGTTGTAACTTTAAACTAATTCCAATTTTAAAAGTTCTACAAATCAGTTCTGGCCATACAGTCTGGTGTAGAACATTGAGCTCGTATCAAGTTATTTTTTTCTAATGCACTGAATAATATAACACAAGTTTATTCATTCGTGATGTCTGGTCATTTGGCTGAGCAGATGGCAAGAGGTAGACCGTCCGGACCCTATAATATTCAACATGACACTGATTACCTCAATTGTACATAAAATTACTAATTTAACACACCAAATGAAACTTAAGTTGATTTCACCCATTTTTTTAAAATTTGGAATGCATGGTTGTTATCTACTTGTAAAATCAGTGTTTCACGCGCAGTCTTAGTTTTTATTAGTGTTGGGGCGGTAAATAAGCTTTTTACATAATTGTTTATAAACGTTTGTTTGTCTTTTTTTCTGACTAAGTTGACTCCGATTGCATGTTTCACCTCTAGCCACCAGCGGGTTTAAGGGGGGGGGGGGAGGAGGTTGACGGTTGCTTTTCCCTTAGGGATTCGACCACCTGCCGAACCAAAGGGTCCCCCCTTTGTACTAATCAGAGAAATTCATTTTTGGCTGACGGACTCTAAAAGATTTCTAAAAGAGGCCTTCGGCGCCATTATTTACTAGCTTTATGGGTAAGAGCAAGCCGAAAAAACGCAGTTTTTTGGTAAAACTTTTCCAATAAATGCCTATAAATGCCTTTTTTGGCCTGTTTTTTTTTCAAATTTTAGTGTGTTTTAGGAGAGCTCGGAAAATCAATTTAGTCAATATCTTTTTGAAATCCGCCCCCTCCCCTCGTGAAAATGCTAGATCCGACCCTGCCTCTAACGATTCAATTTTGGATCGAGATACAATTGAGGAAGTTTAACATTCTCAATATTCCAGTTTGTCTTGCAGCAAGATCCTTACCGCAAAAAAACTTTGGCATTTGATGAATGCATTTGGAGAATCTAATTGAATGAATTTACTGTTTTAAATGAAAATCAAGTTACAAGTCTGTCGCTTTCGTTGTAACTTTCACAAGAATTTCTTAAGAAAAAATGCGTGATTTTGGTATGAAAACAAGAAAACCTGGAAGAGTGCGCCAAGATCTAAATGTTCGGACACTATTGGTGCCTTCATCAAATAAAAATAATAATTCGATCTCACGTAGGGGCATGGCGCGTCCACTCCCGGAGCTCCAGGGTTGCCCTTCTGTCCCCGAGGACCAGGAAGACCAATCGGACCCTAGATTCAAAAAGACATTTTAGAATTTTCGTGACGCATCTGATATGTTTCTAATCAGTTTCGTCTTGTCTTCCATGAGCTACTGAAAATTATTCTTTCTTCACGATAACTCAGAGGCTAACCTTGCCATAAAGTGATTGAGTCAAACCAAGAAAAGCTAAAAAAAAAAACTCAAGAGAGTCAATTTTTGTTCCAAGTCAAGAAACCGACAAACAAAAAAATTGAATAACCCTGAAATAATTACAAAAATCATCAAATTAACCTCAACAAATGAAAAATGGTAATAATTTTTAGAAAAATAAATTAATAATTAGCAATTTCAATTTATCAAACTTGAAAGGAGGTCAAAGTAAGGCCATGAGCATGCCCAGAACGCAGTTAATTGAAGTATTCGGTTGCGTAAACTTATAAGGGCTGTTACCTACCCTTATGCCCATCTGTCCAGGTATTCCCCTGTCTCCGTCCCGTCCAGCCACCCCCGTGTGGCCCCGGATGCCCCTGTCGCCCTTCTGACCTCTGTCTCCCTTCTCACCCACACCCCCAGGATAGCCTGGAGTACCTGTCTCGCCCTGAAAGGAATTATATAAATGGTTTCTTCAGTCCAATTCTTCAGTACTTTACGATAACTTTGTCAAGATCATGACTAGTCTTTGATTATCTGTCCAACATGGCTTTCTTGTCGAGATCTTATTCTAATTTCAAGTGGGGGCGCAAAATATGTATCCACCGTATTGTAAATATGTGTACGGCTTCGTAAACTAGTTATATAGGTCGACCAAAAAGGATCGATACAAGTCAATCACGGTCGTAACACGAGGCAACCAGAGTCGATGCATGCGTTTATCAGGGTCGATACATGAGTCAAACAGCTCAAAACTACTGCCAAAAAAAATCTCAAAACTTGAGATAGATGTGTTGTCACTGTTTAGTTCATCTGAACACCATTTAAACACCAAACAGAAGTTTCATAATAATATTTTTGAAACAGTTGAAAGGTTCACAGTTGATGAAAAATAGCTTTATCATTTGATTCATATATCTAAAACATTGCACTCACGTTTTGATCGAAAAAACTTTTTTTTATGAGAAAAAAGAAAAAAGAAAAACACACTCAACAGACAGTTGGGAAAGAAACATTGACTTACTCTCCAAAAAAAATCAAGTTTTAAGTTTCAAAGTAAAAATTTTATGGTTCTTTGAGTATTGTGAAAAGTTTATGATTGGAATTTTTTTGATGAAGTTGCCTCAATTTGAAAAATATGGATAAGTACATGGGCAAATCTAGAATTTTCTCAAGAGGGGAGGATTTTCAAACTTTTTTTGAGTCAAACAAATAGATTTTCGGAGACTCCATGAACACTATAAAAACCCTATTTTGGCCAAACTTGCTGCGCCGCAAGCAATTTTTTTTAAATAAGTCAAAAATTAGGTCCGTTTTTAGGAAATATTCGAAAAATTTGCACGCTCCGCTTCAATATTTTTATATATTGCCCTAGGGATGATCGGCCTTAAATGGATGTCATGAAAAAGTATAAAAGGGGGGACACTATGGTTGGTGGGGCCTAAATCTCCCAGGATATAAACCCTCAGGACAAAATTCCCCCGGACAAAATCCCCCATTGGATAAAAACCCGAAGTCAAAATCCCCCATTTTTAAATTAAATATCCTAGAACCCAAATTAAATACAATATATGATTTTAAAGTTCCGACTTTCGTAACGAAACTAACGGAATATTTGTGCTCGGGGTTGTTTTTTTTTCAGACAAATTACGACTTTTCTGTCAGCCATTTTTGATGATTTTTTTCCTATCATTCGAAATGTATTGTTGTCTTGAGCTTGAATTTAAAAAGATATTTCACCTATGATCATTTTTGCTTAAGTTATGGGGTATAATCGGTTGCCATTTTGGCCGATTTCGGACAATTAACGCGCGATATATTTCGCGCTAGTAATACGTTAGCGGAGATTCAATCCGTCCTAGGGATTGTTCCAAAATAGTTGATGGAAGCTTATTTGCCATAATTGACTTGTTACTAGAAGCGAAATTGATAACTTTATATTGTATATGGCGTGTGGGGCGATGACTTTTACAAAAATATCAAACTATTTTTTAGAAAAATTTCGTTTTATTTTATTACATTTAAACTTTTCAAGTTATTACTGCTGCATAGACAGTAAAAGGCAGTTGCATCATTCGGGGGCTCGCCTTAATACGAGCAGTCTTGTTTCTATTGATTCCATTTTGAATTGATTTCCATTTAAACATGCATCGCTATTTCGACTTGACTTTTCGACTTTTTAAGGATTCAATTTCCTATAAGAATGAGTTTTGGTTACAAAACTAAAAGGCCACGTGGAAAAGTCAGTAAGATAAATGAATAAAAAATATCGGTGATCCCTCTAGGGTGAGTTCGAATCTCAAAATGAATTTTTGTGCAACCGATTAAAAAAAGTCTGTTCAATTGAACACCCAAGGGTAAAAAAAAAGTGGGGGTGAGGGATGATGTGAAAGATAGTGCCCGGTTCTTGAGATACCATCATTCTTGTGGCAATTTTTCAGACCTTCAGGACCACGGAATTTTGATTTTTTGGGGTGCGCAAAAACTTTGAATTTTTTGGACGTTATTTATTCAATTTTTCCATGTATATATGCCCTTCTGCCTGATAAAATTAGCGTGCGAGAGTGTTGGTGAGGGGTTCGAATCCCTGGGATAAAAATGCAAAGTGTTGATTCCGCTGCAAAATCTAAAAATTAAAACCCTCTTCCAAAATTAGAAGTCGTTCATTTATTTTGCGCTTTTTTCACGTTCGTATTAGGAGAGCGCAATTTAAAGTTCTAGCGGACGAAATTCAATTGAAATCAGAAATTGCATTTATACCTAAGTGCATTCATAAATGTATTATTATGTATGAACTCACATCTGTAGCTATTTGAGAATGGACATGTATGAAGGCACAACTATAAGTATTCTGAATAAAACTGCTACAAAATGACCATGACTCTTAATAATTTTTAAAAAGTATTAAATCCATTTAATAGGCAAACTAAAAAAAACAATTTGAAATCATTTTACATCAGCCATTGAATATGAAATGCGTAGAAATTCTAAATGAAAGATCGACGAGATTCAGGAAAATCAACCAAAGTCGAGCAGCGTCGACAGCGACTCAAAAACCAACAACTGATTTTATTTGACCCACAATGTAAAGGAAGAGTAACGGTAGTACATTCATAAAAAAAAGAAGAGTGTCAATGAAGTGGCTAACTCTCCGCCTCTCAGCCGACACGTCAGTGGTTCGAGCCCAACAAGATCTTTGCTCGTCGCTTGAGGCTTATACAACTTTACTCAGCTCATGAAAATGAAAAAAAAAAATGAATGAACTCTGTAATTAAGAGGCAGAATGGCTGTTCTCCGTAAAGAACTGAACAGCTCAGAGCGCTATTTTGTTTCTCATGTATCAACCATTTAAATAAAAATAAGTACTAATCAAAAACAAAATGAGTAATAAAAACAAAAAATGTAATCACGGAAATTTTAATATACAATGGTACTGTACTTTCAAACCCTCCGAGATAATTTTAGGCAAGTAAAATTGCATTATGAAATTGCGTTATGAGAACAGTTTTCATATTTGATTTTTCTAGAACTGACAAGCTGTATCTCACCTTTTTGCCTGGAGGTCCCATGATTCCCTGAAAACACAGTTTATATTGTTAAAACACTGGAAAGCAGCAGCGTGCCGGGGGGGGGGGGGGGGGGGTGTTGCACTTTTGGCAAGCGTTGTTGCACTTTTGGCAAGAATAATAGTTGCTTTTGAAAAACTTGCTAGCGGCACAGAAATTTTTTGACAACAAATAGGGTCCTCAAAGTATTTTCGGAGAGCTCGGATAATTCTAATTGGTCGACCTAAAAAAAAGGCCCGCAAAATTTTTTAAAATTTTACGAAAAACTGCACCCCCTCCCGTAACTGCCACTGCTCGAAAGGTTGAATCAATTTTTATTAGGCTAATAATAACTCTTCAATCAAGAGTCGGATTTTTGTATTCTAAATTTCCTTCCCGGAATTTTTCGTTCTGCTAATCCAATATGAGTAAACTTCTTTATATCTACTCAACCCAAGAGTTAGCCAAACTATGATTTTCAAGAAATGGTTTCTCATTTTTGATGCAAAAAGATGCAAGCAATTTTTCTATTGCTGATTTGAAATTGCATAATTTTATTATTATTTCTATTGTAATCCAAAGTTAATCCGACAACTCACCGAATTTCCTTTGATTCCAGTGAATCCTGGTATTCCCCTTTCACCCTTTTGCCCAGAGGGACCCGGAAGTCCAGGGGGTCCCGGTGGACCGGGCTCTCCCCTCTGGCCTTTGAAGTTGGACTAAACGCGTTTATTAACAATTAACTTCACTTGCTTGATAATGAAACAAAAGGTCCAAGAAGTGTAAAACGGTTTTGACATTAGATAACTATCTTAATTACATTACCTTTGGAGCGAGCGGTTTCGCTCAAAGAAACAAGCAATAAATTTCAGTGCGGCCCTATTGCATACTTCTTACTTATTTATGATCCCAGAATTTTTGATCCCAGATTTATTATCCCATGGCTTCACAAAAATTTAATTGTTTCTTTGTAAATTAACTTTTAATAGTTTTCTAAATAATAAATTTTGTGAAAGGCAATCGGACTCACATTTTCCGAAAAATTTTGGTTCACAAATGCAAGCCAATTGTCTAGAATTGATTTTATAATATTTACCTCAAAAAACTGGAAGTTTGGTGCGTCTCCAACGTGGTAATTCTGAAGCAAAGAGGACATTAAATTCAATTTTTTTTTGCTTTTTCTAAAATTGGGCCGTCTCCAATTCTTTATTGGGTTATAGTTAGTAGTAAATTTTTCTTGTCTATGTCCAACATAGCTCGTTGTTCGTTGCAAAAACTGAACCCGTTTTCACATTTTGTACTTGGCTATGGTTTCCAAGGTAATACTTTTGTGGTTTTGCCGTGTCATAATGGTTAAGCAAGATCTAAGCTATCCTTCTGATCTTTTCTGTCTTTGACCCCGACCGTTACCAGATAATGTTATGGAAGGGGACACCTCAAGCAGTCGGCTCAGACACCACGTTTGCCTTTAATATACAGTAAATTTAAAAATATATATTGAGCAGAGACACAACATTTTTGTAAAAATGATCCATTTAGTCATTCATAAATATTCATAAATAAAACTCGACACAAATTTCGACATAAAGTTCGACACAAATATTCATAAATAAAATTCGACACAAATATTCATAAATAAAATTCGACACAAATTCGAAAATGGTCAATTTGGTCATTCATAAATATTCATAAATAAAATTTGGTCATTCATAAATATTCATAAATAAAACTCGACACAAATTTCGACATAAAAATCGACACAAATATTCATAAATAAAATTCGACACAAATATTCATAAATAAAATTCGACACAAATTCGAAAATGGTCAATTTGGTCATTCATAGATATATTCATAAACAAAATTCGACACAAATAAAATTCGACACAAATAAAATTCGACATTCTAAGATTATGAAAATAAAAAAAAACAAACAAATCATCAGAATTGTTTCCAAAAACAAAAATTCGAACATTCAAAACTTCATCCAAAAGGCTGCAAAAAGCAATGTTAGCTGAAACATGAGATTGTCTCAAAAACTTTATTAATTTCTTCCCTAATTCGCAAAAAAAAATTACATCATTCTTTCTATGGGTTTTTGGCTAAGTGAAGAGGGTCGATGATCAGTCCATCAAATGATTACCTGTCCCGATTCTTCCGAATCATCGTCAGAGTCTTTGGACGTTATAGACACTCCTCGTTTGTTCCTCGCATACTAAAACAGAAATTATTTCAGGATTTTTTCAGACTTAATTCTCGCCTCAATTAATAAGCAATGCATATCTTCAAACGCACCAAAGCTCTTGAAGTTTGGAAGACAATTAGCCAGAAATAACAACATTAAAGGGATAGAAACGAAAGCGTTTTATGGCAATAAAACAGACATTTAGATTTGATCAGAAACGTCTGCAAAAACAGCTGAACCCAAATTAATGGCATTCAAAACACCACATATAATGACGCAATTTAGGGCTCCAAGCAGAATTCTCATGCTAGCTAATATGATTTTATCGCAATCCAGATAGGGAGCAGGCAAAATTAAATGTAGTTTTACACCTGATGATTATACTTATGAAGTGTTAGACTGTAATTGATCCATGATGATTTTGGGTTCTGCCAGTCATAAACTTACCGGTATTTTGGAATCTAACACTACAATTTCTCCTGCGCTGCCCTAAAAATCACAGTTGAACAAATAACAATATCGATTTCTTATGAGACTGGTTTTCATATCAGCTGGGGTTTCAGTTTTACGATTTCAATCAGGAATAAATAAGTCGGCGTGCAAGTAAAATCGACAGTTTAGCTTTCGAATTAGCAACTGTCAAACCTTATTTCCCTCAAAGTATCGCAAAAAGAATTGGAACAGTTTTCAGCTTTCAAATTATTAAGCAGAGTTGTGACTGCTTCGCTTAAAATGGCTGTCATAACTTTCTAATCATTGATAAAACCCGTTTGAGGTGGTTGTCAATCCTCTAGATCTGAAGGAAAATATTTTTACTATCAGCAGGGCTGTTTGTATTGACTCTTCTGCCTACGCACCTACTTTTATTTAGTAGTTTTTGCAGAAAATTTACAAGCCAATTAAGTTTTTTGAATTTATCTTTTCGATGCTTTGTTGAACACCCCCGGCGCGCTGAACAAATACAAAACAAGACTGCTCGTATCAGGGCGAAGCCCTGAATGTTCCGACTGCGTTTTAAGGTCTATGGAGCAGTTATAACATGGAAAATTTAAATGTAATAAAAAAAAATTTAAAAGATTTTAAAAAAAGTTTGAGATTTTTTGTGAAAACATTCCCTCACACGTCATATTAAATACAAAGTGATAGACTTTGCTCCTATAAATAAATCATTTATGGCATATAAACTTCCTTGAACCAATTTGGAACAATTTCTGAGACGAATTAAATCTCGCTTACGCGTTAATAGCGCGAACTATATCGCGCTTTAATGTCCCAAATTGGCCAAAATGGCAATCTTTAAACCCCCATTACTTTACAAAAAAAAAATCACAGGTCGAATATTTTTTCAAATTTAAGCTCAGGACAATAATAGCTTTCGAATGATTAAAAAACCTTAGTAAATGGCGAGTTAAAAAGTATAAATTTGTCTGAAGAAAATAAAACCCACCCGAGCACAAATATTCCGTTACTTTAGTTACGAAAGTCGGAACAATTATATATGTGAAACAAGACTGCTCGTATATCAGAGCAAAGCCCCGAATGTTGCGCTGTCCCTTAATTCATATCGAATAGTTTTTGGAAGAAAAATATTGGAAATCCGTAATTTTTGGACAAAATCAAAGTGTAAACTTTTGAGTCGTACAAAATTAATTAGATAGCCTCAATTCAATATAAAACAATTTTGCTGTGCGCGATAAGTCGCCACGCATAAATACTTTGCGTTTACGCTCTCAGCAGAATGAATAAATTCTTCAAACCCCCAGAACTTTACAAAAAAACTATCCGAGGTAAAATATCTTTTATATTTGAAACAGGGAATCAATGTCTCCAATGGGATATAAAAGTTTCCGAAAACTATTATTTCGATCGAGGAATATTGACTGGATAAAAAAACACACCGAGGATATATATTCCGTTTTCTTCGAAAGTCGGAACAATAATTATTTGTTAGTTCAGGTGAAGCAAATAAACAAAACATTCTTTCTTGAGCGGCGAAACGAAACAAAGTTTGCCGGAAATTAGATAGCTGCCACAAACACTTCTTTTTAAAGAGGCCGAAAAGTACAGGTTCTGTTTATCGTATATAATAAAGAACGAAGTTTTCATGTCAAATATTCTATAATTGGTCAGTACTAAGGCAATGGAGAAAGTACAAGTCGCCGGGCTCGTTAAGGAAAAGTTTCATATAAAGGAATAAGTTCTTAAGTTGATTTGAATGTTATCTCTACGACTTTTGTAAATTTATAACTTAATTTCCTCGTTCATGCCATTGTCACGCACAATGATAACATGAATGGTTTTTCATAAAAAAACGATGAGTTGCAAAAAAGACACCACTTGCCAAAAAAAAGATTTTTTTTCTATTCGTTTCTGATATCATTTACATTTCCTGTTTTTTTTTCTAGAAACCAGCCTAGAATGCAAAATCATAAAGGACATTTTTTCCGGAAAAAGAAAAGTTTTGAAGTATTTTTTTTCGGAATTCAAACATTTACTTAGAATGATCAAAAAAAACTTTCCACTTGAGTTGTCTGTTTGTACACCAAGCCAATTTTCTTTTTGTTTAAAAATAAAATTTTCCGAATGTAATACTGAAATATTCGAACCGCACAAATTTGATAATTTTTCATGAAAATAAAATCATTTTTTTTAAATGAGGAAAAACTGCGAAGAAATGTTGAATGTATTTGAAGTTTCCGAGTAACAAATTTTCGTTGTGGTGATTTTACTTCTGTAACTATTTGGAGCTATTTCAAATCATTTTGACTGATTGATTTTGGAAAAAATATATGGCTAGAAGAATTGGATAAAACTGAAAAGACTGCTCTGCTACTGGTTTAAAAAACAAAAAATAGCTAACAATTATTGCTTTAAAAACTCTCTTTTGATTTTTTTCTAGGAACTGCAAAAAATAAACGATGGGCTCTCCAAAACACTTAAAATTGAATAGTTGAGAAAACAAACTAAGAACGAAAATTGCAAATTACTTTTTATGTAGTTATGTCTGATAAACCAAAGAAACATTCAGAAGAGTTTTGGGCCATACAGATCAAATATTTTGAATCCGATTTTTAACAGAAAGGGAATCAGGATTATCGAGAGGCGACAATTCGTGACAGGTCATAATTACTAACAGGCGACAATCCGTAACAAGCGACAATTCGTAACTGTAGGTTAAGCGGGTAATTCACGCGCAGTATTCCTATCGTGCTGGACGTAAGCGGGGCAAGCATATTCAATATACCAAGCAAAGCGGGGCAAGCATATTGGAACCTGATCTAAACTACATTTTATGATTGGATAAATTAGATATTTTACCAATGTAAAGTATTTAATATTAACCAATCATGATCCATCTAACTAACAACCCACTTATTTGTAAGTGCTGAAGTTACTTGTAATTTCAGCACCAGAGAGATTTGAATTTAACTTAGAAATTAGTTGGACTCTCCCGAGCACTTCAGCAGCCGCAATAAACCAGTATACCCTAGATCTATTGAGCCTAGCAGAGACTAGTTAAACAACCTGAGACTAGATAGTATAAGAGTAAGATTAGGATCGGTATTAGACTAAGAAGTTGCACGAATCTATCCGGCCGAAAATAAGATAGCGTGACGAGCAGACGGTGTACCCTATCCGAAATTACTCTATGAGTTATACACTCCAGTCATAACTCATCTGGTGCGACCATAAGTCTCGAACAAGACCTTAATAGCTTAGAATTAACCAAAATAGATTAGAAATTAGACAAAAACATTTACAAAATGTTATACGACAATAATTTAATCGAAATGTCTCTACGACTCAATAGATCAGAGCCAATATTCCGAACCATAACAGAACTACCCGGAATTGGAAGAAGACCTCGAACCAGAGACGACATACGACAAAGTAGAAACTTGCCATATAGCTATATGATAGTTAGGCAAAAACCAGAACAAACTTTTATATTTAGAATACTACTAGCAATGAATTTAGATTTTCATTTGCAAACATAAAACCTTGAAGTTAATCTTCAAAATCATTTCAGGCGCTAAACAAAATTATTAATATACAATAACGATTGATAAAAAGATCTAAGATCGTTTTCCTAAAACTCTGCAGTAATATACAAAACATGTTTGAAAAATATTTATTGAAAAATAAAAAATAAAAATTAGTAGCATGACAATAAATGGTTAGTAATTATAAATCATCCTGTTGTTCCAGCTCCATCACCTAAAACATAACAGCAATCATAAACCCACTAATATCATAAAAATACTAAATCTTTTCTTTACACAAATTTAAAACATTTTAAACTTCAATTCACTTAATTTTAAAACCAGATCATCAAGGCTTATCCTTGGATCTTAAATCATTTTCTACTTAATTAAATTTCAAATTTGATCATCAAGGCTTATCCTTGGATCAAACAGAACAACTTTGTTCTCCCCCACCCACTTAATTAGTGTCTAACGACCTCAAACGTCGATTCACTACCCAACCCTTTCTAAAGACCTAAGACTAATAGAAATTTTTAAACAAAACTAATCATTCAAATTAGGATAAACAGTGAAGAACTTCGGTTATTCATCCTTCACTTGACCCCCCCTCTTACCAGACCCAGGATAAATCTTAGACTTAGTAAGTTTAAAATAGTATCTAACGAACTACTCGCGTTCTAATTATACCTGAACCTTGTGGATCGATTTACTATTCTCCAACCCTTGAACACAATCACTACCCCTAAGTAAGATTAAGTAAGTTAACACCTTAACTTATATTAGCCACGAGAAAGTAAAAAATCATTCTTCGGAATCGATATACTTTTCTCTCCAACCCTGAACAAATAGACCCAGGTTAAGCTAACCAAAAAATCGTAAGAACTAACAGTTTAGGAAAATAGAAATCTTTTAACAACCTTTTGCATCCGTCATCCTAAACCTTATGTCATTTAAAAACCTAGGAAATAAACAAACAATCAGTTTACACAATTGTGAAATAGATAACAAAAAATACGACCTTGTAATCACACCTCATACACAAACAGTTGGATATATCAGAACAAAACGACAAACACTAAAAAGAAAAATCATAACGAAACAAAGACAAATAACACGAAAAAGATTTTCAAAAAATCGAAACGCAATTTCAGAATCAGAAACCAACAGTTTAGACGAACTTTACAAACTAAAAGAATCAATAGATAAAAATTGCCCACTTCACGATCAATTATATTTTTCCGACTCAGAAACAACTTCAAATTCATCAAAAAGAGGAAAAAGAAGAATAAAAAAGCAGTATAAACACAAACCAGTACATTTATACAATTGGAATCAACCAATTCGACACATTAATAATTACATATTAACAGTCATCGAACGAAAAAATGAGCTCAACGCACACCCCAGGTGACGAAACCCCAGATGATGATGAAATCTTTCCTTTTATAGTAGATGCAACCACTGATAGAGGACAGCATATATTTTGCAAAAATTTACTATTAA